CAGTGCGGCCATTATCAGATCATCAGCCTGTTGCTGAAACGTGGTCACACAATACAGATACCACACAAAGCCCGGTGTCTGTGCAAAAAGGTCAGTAGGTATGCATTTTTTTTTTGCCAATCTATGTAATAGTAAGAGTACGTTTTGTCAGTAATTTATTCGAAGAAATAATAAAAACCAACTACGCTAATTTTTGAACGACATTTTAAGATATTTATTTTTTCAAAAACGTTTGATTCAGTATCTGTTTAAAGTATACTCGTACAATAATTATTTTTTCACTGTTTTGAAAAACATATGTTATTATATTCTAAATATTGTTAAAGTTTTTTCATTCTATTACCACTTGTGTGAGTTTTTTTTTTAAACGTTTAGAGGTATATAACGTATTTCTATTTTTCAATATAAATATGGTATTGATATCACAATAATATTATGACGAAAGGTGTGCAAGTCGTTGGCGCAGATCAACAACGGTCTCGAGGCATCGGAACTGAAACTGTCTGTGTTTCGGGCGTTGGCCAATCCGTTTTACATATACTTGACGTCGGAAGACCCTATTCTGACTGCGTTCCAGTTGAGCAAAGAACTCCAGGAGCATGGCAACGTGAACCGGCTATTCAAGTCAGATTACGAATCGCTAAACTTACAGACCAGGCTTTTTGCCGTCGACCTAATCGGACTGTGTCGGTCGTCTGCCGAGGTGAAGCTGATACTGACACGGAAGGAGGGCTGCAACTTCTTCGGGTCATTCCCGTACCACAGGCTGGTAATGGCCATGGACCTGAAGCAAAAGGAGTTCGTGGCTCACGGCAGCGTGCAGCAGATCCTGGAAGTGGCGTGGGCGGGTAACTGGTACGAGTGGCGGGACCACGGATCCACGTACGGAGCCGGCACCGTTCTGGCCCGCGTGCCCTTACTCCTGTGGATCGTCGTCCTGTACCTGTTCGCGCCGTACTCAAAGGGCGGCGAGTATTACTCGTTGCCGGTGAATAGGATGATCAACTATCTGGCGTCGTACGCCGTATTCCTGGTGGTGTTGACGTGGGCCAACAACCTGGAAAAGACGTCGGTCGAGTGCACCGGAGACGGGCTGGGCCTGGTGCTCCGCATGATCATCGTGCTGTACACCGCTTCATTTATGGTGCGCACCGTCAAGCTCGTTATCGTGCAAGGTCCCCGGCGGTTCTTCGGCATGCTGTGGAACGTGTACGACTGCATCAAATTGTGCATGCTGGCCGCTACGGCCGCGTGCTGGTGGACGTCGTACACGAACCCGCGCGATCCGCCCATCGAGCGCAAGTACTGGCCATCGTCGGACCCGACGCTGGTTGGCGAAGGACTGCTGGCGATGGTCACAGTCATGTCGTTCCTGCGACTGCTGTTTTTGTGCCAGCTTAGCTACTCATTGGGTCCGCTACAGGTGTCCCTGGGCAAGATGACGACGGACTTCGCTCGACTAGCCACCGTGTTTGGCATCATCATCGTGGCGTTCACCGCGGGCCTTTGCCGGTTCTACCAGTACTACGAGGGCATGACGCGCGTCGATCCAGACACCGGTTACGAGACCAAGCAGGACGAGTCGTTCGTCAACGTGTACTCGACGCTCAAGACGCTCTTCTGGGGCGTGTTCTGCATGACGTCATCCACCGCTGGCACGGTGGTCGTCGAAAACGCGGCTGTCGACGACGAAGAGGACGTGTCGCCCGTCAACAACCACTACATCACGCAGGCTGTGGGCACGTTCCTCTATTCCGTTTTCCAGACGTTGTCCGTGATTGTCACGCTGAACATGCTCATCGCCACCATGACCAACACATTCCAGCGGGTCACCGGAAACTCGTACGTGGAATGGGTGTTTGGCCGGACGGAGGTGTTCCTGTCGTTCTCCATGCACAGCGATCTGCCGCCACCACTCAACTTCCTGCCGTCCACTCATTGCGTAGTGGACGTGTTCGCGTACCTTGCTAACTGCTGCAAAGCCAGCTCAGTGGGTTTTGTCAACATGATATCGTCCAAGAAGTATCACACAGACTCCTATCCGGACAACGATTTCCGGGAGCTGATGCACAAGCTCAGCCGACGATACTTCCGACACAGACAGCGACCCGCCGACGTCAGAATGTGCTTTCCGGCTTGCGGTTGAACGTTAACGTTACTTATTCTCATACACACTATCTTTCTCTCCTTTTCTTTATGTATATATGCTTGTCTATATAGGTTACCGACAACGGTGGCAGCCGATGGTTTAATCATCGGCGTTCGTCATTTCTGTTTGAAGAATATTATTAAATTTTACTTGAGAAGTCTGCAGTTGCCGCTGTTGCTGGTAATTACACTATAATTTATTATGTAATAATTTTCTTTTTTGTATGTTTGTCCAATTAAATGTGTTTAATGTACTGCTATCAAATAACGAATTGTTATTAAATTATTCCATGTGAGTATATGATATGTTAAAAATTAGCACACATTGTTATAGGGTAATACGTTTACATGTACATGGTAATATTTTTAGTAAAACTTTGTAGTATGGAAATATTGATATGTAACGGTCATTATTTTGAAATCGCACTAATAAAACTATAGAAGTGGTAATATTTTAAAAAACCCATCTAATTTCATTCTAAAATTTATTTGTGAATAAAATTTTAAAGCAAAATTATTGACGAATTCAAATTAGTTTGTCTTTTCTAGTTAAGTATTTTACTCGATAAATATATCAATTAGTGTAACGGAAAAGGCATAGTGCGTACATACTTTAAATAAAAAATAAATTTTTTTTTTCTTGGTATGACCAGTTTGAATAGTGATGTGTAAAAAGTGTATAGAATTATGAAAGTTAGGTATTCGATAAATTGTCGTTAAGTATAGTATGAACGCATACTAATAATTTTAATTTACTGCAAACAATTTTTACTTGTTGCATTATTCGAATAAAACCACATAGTTCATACAAACGCACTCGTCGCATATCTACATGTGAGGTACAACAAATGTCCTAAAACGGGCTGTTTGCAATCCCATTACGCGATTTCTGTGTAAAAGTAGTTAATGTATTTTGAAGTAGCACTACGCCAGTAGCTCTATAGCCTATGTCCGGAGGATTCAACCACAGAAGGATCACCGTGTTAGCGGGAACATCAAATTCCATGTATTTTGTTATCTAGTCTAAAAGCACTTTCACGGTAGTTATAATAAAATACTTCTTGAACTTGTGTTTTTGTAGTATTTAAATATTTTACTCTCTTAGCAGGTTGACCATAAGATCCCACGATGGATTTCATCTCGATGTATTCTGACTGCCAAGGGTTTTTTTGTAGATGTGCTCAAAGAAAATTCGAAAAAAAGTTCACCTATCTATTACAAAACTTGTAGATATATTTTCAAAGTTATTTTTAAGGTATTCCAATTCTTATTTTATTCTTTATGGATGAGATCCAAAATAGTATCTCATGAGGTGAGTGACACTATCGGTGTAATAATTACCTAGTTTTATATTTATACAAGATGAGATCCAAATTGACCCATTTTATCAAGTTTGATCTTCATCAGTGTCGTCTAAGTAATCAAAATCATTGAAATCTGAATCCAAAATTTGATTAATTGTATGTTTATCCATTATTAAAAATATAGACATAAATTCTTTTCTCATACACAAAGTTATATAGTAAAACGAGTCACCCGCAAAAAATCAATATATTGTCATATTACATTATTAAATTTTACTATCGTTTATCATGATAAAAATTATGTAGAGCATTTTATCAACAACACTAGGAAGTCTTGTACAGTTGTACACTATTCCTACTATCCATACTATTCACTTTTGTGTTACTCATTAAAATTTTATAAATAATAATTAAGTCAACTAAAAGGATATTAAAGGTTATTTCAATAGGATATAAAAAAAAAAAATCATAATAAATCGTCTAAAGATGATAATTTTTCAGTAAAACTACCAAATAAAACAAGAAACACGATAGAATCTAATTATATGTTTAAATTATTGAGATATATGAGACCCGATTCGATATCTCAGTTATTAACGAGAAATGTTAGTGAGATCCCAAAATGGATCACAAATGTTTTTTTCTTTGGCTAATGTGAGATCCAAATATGTGGCTCATTGGCTACGTGAAAAAAATTGATATAACACTTTTTGACATTCAACCTGTTAAAATAAAATTTCACTGCTATTTAACACTACAATATATTTCGTAAATTTCTACGTCGATTGAACTGCTGAATCAATTAACTTGTTCGACTTGAATAATGTTTTAGACTTAGAATACTATTTATGCAAATTTATAGAAAATATTTATGCACGTCAGCATCATTGGGTTATAAATTAACAAAAAAATCGGCGATGACAATTTTGAGGTAAATGCTGTTATTTTACTAAACCATCGATACAGAACGTGAGTTCACATCTCAAAACTAAAGGACGTGCGAAACAGTATATTTTATAGTATTATTTTTATATTTTTTTTACTTAACACAATTTAAACGAATTGAACATTTTCTTTTTTTTTTTTACCACACGCATGATTACAGTTGTTTTTTTTTTTTTATCGTAATCGTATAACAGGTACGTGATCGGCGTTGATGTGCCTGTGTATTAATGCGTGTTTAGTTTTTATACCATATACATTACTGTAATCGTAAAAATATTATAAGAAGCAAACTCATTAAAAGTTTTAATTGGGGAATTTATTTAAAAAAAATAATCTGTAATATTCTAATGATAGAATTAAATACCTATTACTCAAATACTATGTGTTTTTATAAACAGTGGATTTTTATGAATTTCATTTTAATATTTATATATTATATTATAACCTATTAAAACACTATTGGATAAATTATTGTAATAGTAGAAGAGAAATACAAACGATAACACATGACAATATTATTACAAATCAAATTATTTACGAATGTCGTCATCCGTATCGCGTGCACTTAATAAAATCTATAATTTTTTATATAATATCTCATACCGGAATTTCGAGGTACGACGTGACATTTTCCTGGGATCCAACGATGAAATTTTCATAATTTCTTACCTGTAACAAAAAAAAAAAAAAAAATGTCACTTCAATTTAATTAATGTTTAGTATTTTAACTTGGCATATTTCAAATACAATAAATTAGTCGTATTGTAAATTTTAAAAACTGAATTATTTTATTTTTAATAGATTTTTTTTATTTAATTTATTAAAATCTAGGAAAAAATAATTTTCTAGAGAAAAGATTTATAATTATTTGAATATATGTTTTTAGTTGGTTATTGTTACAAATAATGTAACAATTCATGGAGAAAAATAAAATTTTGGTAAACAAAATGTAATTAAATTTTTTTTTTTTTTGTATTTATTTAATAAATTGCTTATAGATAAATGTATAAATAGGTAATATGTAGGTACCTAACTATATAAATGAAGTGAACTATATTTTCTCAGAGCATTTAAAACATCAATTTATTTATCAACATTTGGGTATTAAAATATATAATTTATTCAAAGATGAATTCACTAGAACAGTTATTTCAGTTTTTTAAAATACAAATTTTTTTTTTTTGAGTAAGGAATATAGTTATTATTATATAAATAATTGTAGGTACAACATTTTTTGATATTTAAGTTGTTTTTTGTACTTTTCAAATATTTTTATTTAGTACCATTTAATTGATAACACGTGCATAATTATAATTTATTCATAATAAAAATGGTTATTTATTGTACGTAGTTGAGCATAACACAATATTTAAATATTATACACTATAATGTTATAATTTATAAGATATTATAATAGTATAGCAAAACATTTGCTTTTTACCAAGTATATATATTTTTTGGGGGTTATATCTTTTGTTTTCCGTATTTTGTATCGAATACCTCTCTATGTATATGTAATACGTAAAAACGTTTTTGAAACGTTATACTCATTTTAAATTTAATGATTGTGTACAAATATATATAATATATACTATCAAAATCTAATCAAGAATATTAAAATACAAAAATTCGCGTTTTTTAACGATCTCATTAGTGTCTGTTTGAATTATTGTAAAAGGGTTGATGACCGACAAACAAAAAATAACAAGTAATAACGAACTGTGATTATTTTAGTTATGAAAATTTGAACAGAATTTTACTTTTTAAATTAACTAAAGAAAAAAAATGATTGAATATAATTACAGTTTTATTTTTTTTTTGTTCTTTATTTACTGGTTAATTGAATATTTTACAATCTGTTTTCATACACCAAAAACAAATTCGTCAAAAAAAAAAAAAAAAAAAAACACCGTGACATTGATAACAGTACTAAAAATAATAATTAAGGAGAAGTCTTACAGTTGAATCACCCTTAAAATAAATATCGTAAGATTGTAATTATACATTGACAGTATTATATTATTATCGTTATGATAATAATAAGCCAAAAATATTAATTTATCATATTTTTATAATAATAATTATAGCCATGAGTTTTGTACTACGGAATTACGTTTCTACTACAGACATATATGATTTTAAACTCTCTAGCCGGAGAAAGTAAAAATATTAATTGTTCAAACTGGGGAGTGATTTGATGAGTGTGGGAGAGGAGGTAAGAATTCTCTACAAATATCATAGGCTAGGATAAATTACCTTCCACCCCTCTTTAAGCCTTCAACATATATCACCGTATGTGTAGGTCAATACAGTAAACGCATTGCGATATAATTTCCAAATACATGCAATAGAATATAATACATATTAAGACCAACCGATATTATACGTTAATAAAGCTACTATATTATAAATATCTAAAGATGATATATAAAATAGCAATATAGATAATGCTATTGCATATCTATTATAGTCTATACTTGCTATAGGTTTGTCGAGGTCGTACAACAATAGTTACAACAATCTTTGTATTTAAATTTATTTAGTGTTTGGTGAGCAAATAGCGTATAACTACAAAATGTTAATTTGCATGATATGTTTTTCGTAGATTCAAAAAAAAAAAAAAAAAATTGCTTCGTAAAGAAGGCAGGTTGTAGACATATACCTACACCTAGCTATTATAATGTACGGGTAATATGATTGCAATCTAATCGTGCTGATGGACGAAATATTATTTATGAAAGTAAATTATACGTTTTTACGATCGTAACTCACGGAAAATATAAATAAATATAAAATAATATATACATATTATATAAATTCATACATTTTTAAATTACACAAAATGTTTCGTTCGTCTTCATCACGATTTCGACATTTTTTATCGCGGTTCCTACAAATTCGACCTTCCAAATTGTAACCGCATCGTCTACGGACAGCGATACGCAGTTTATGTTTACCTATACGACCAAATAATGCGAATAGTAATCTACGTGACTACGTTTATATACGGCGTAAGTACCACTACAACAATGTGCTTTATTTCGTATGGAAAATCAATATAAATTTTTTATCTTGCTCGATGCTTAACATTGATATTTGACATATTAATAATTACTAGTTATTCTCTATTTCGCGAGTTATATTCGCAGGCATGTTGTTTCCAAACGCGTGTAAGCACTGATCATAGGCGTACGACGCAGACCTCTTTTTTAAGGTGTGCAAAACGCATCAATCGCACGCAACTGAAAATTATTGTTTTAAGCGTTTAAAACACGGGTAGAAAAATATAGTATATAACCTATAATTAATAAAATTTAACTCAACGTCGGCTGGTTTTAATAACGTATTGTTAGGGTGTAGGATTTCCGGCGAGATTTTCAAATAAAAACAACAAAAACGGTTAAAAATTTGTTGGAAATTACAATTAATATTCATCATTACTTGATTCGATGCAAATATTACACATGTCATATATATACTTTGAATCAATTATGGTGTAAATCTACCTACTATAGTCAGTTATATTTTATTATTGTATTTCGCAGCGATGTTGTATAATAATAATAATAATAATATAACGTTATTATTAATGTGCAGCAATGAAATATATTATTTATATTTCGTGATGTTTTCGATAGGTATTAGTAATAGCGTGTACAGTATTAGGATAAACAGCAGCGCTTTTTCATTGTAATTTCGTGACGGCATACTATTATTATTATTAGTTTTGATAAATCTTTCGACGCGCTCGATTCTGGCGATAGATGTTACGACGTGTTCTTATCGCCGAAACGCCGCCATCGTCGTCGTTGCCGTATGCTCCCGCCGATCATCAAAACAATATAATATTATTATATTATACACATTTTAACACGCCACCGCCTTCAGCAACCGTGTAATTTTCTAGTCTCGAGTCGTGTGTTTCGTGCACCCTCATCAATCAAAGCTCGTTTATGTCGCTTAAGTCGCGATCGCGGTCGACTGATATAATATAACGTATTCTATTATGTGAACACGCGCGAACGACAAACTCGCAAGTGTGTGGTCATTAAAGCCTGCGCATCTTGTGATATTATTATACGACGATAGTGATGATGTTGAAAATTATTATTATACATCCACGCGGAGTTTTAACGAATGGCTGTTTAAAGACGACAGACTGAATGTACCTAGAAATATACGCAAACAATCTGTGGCTAAGAGACCAAAAGTTGTAATGGTCTATAATATTTTACCTAAATACTTGTATTAACCCTATGTGTAAATCCTGGTCGATAATAAGCCTTAAGCGACAATTTTCATATTTTTTTTTTCGAACTTTATTCTTTTCTAAGAATCCTATATGCATACGTATTTACAGAAGATAACCAATCATAAAAATAATATCCACTTATCTCGAGTATCTACGTTTTAGTTATAACTTCTAGGAAAATAAAATAGGATATAATTATAATAAAAAATAATAATATATACATATTTTTTGTTATGATAAAATCGGTACTAATGACGAAAAAATAATATTTGAACATGAACTGCATCATAAAATTTAAAACAGCTTTACTGCAGTAATGCTTGACGTTGCCTGTGATATTTTTCGCTCTCTGGTCATGTAGTTGTGATAATACATGGATACTTACAGCATGTTAATATTTTATTTCATAGTTTATTTAAATATTATACAGTTGAATAAATAAAAATAAAAAAAAACTGAAGTATAATCAATTTTATATCAATTACTACTTAAAAAAAAATTTACATTTATTATTTCAAATTTGACGGTATCGAAAAACCTGCACGAACGCTATGTAGATACGATTCTCATTTATTAACTCTGCAAACAGAATACTTAACGTCAGTTCCGGTGGAGCTTATTTTCACTCTACAAATGTTACAAACAACTTTTTCTGTTCTTGACGTTGATTTAAAACGTCCGACGCACGTAAACACAGTCGTAGAATACCACCTTTAATCGACGTCTCGACCACAATCGTCATCGTTCATCGTCGCACTCAACCGGAGGCTCAGGGGAATCGCAAGAAAAAGAAAAAAAAAGAAATCGCTGGAAAATCGTCAAACCTCGGCCGGCCCGACGAGTGACGACGTATCAATGTCATACCACCCGTCAGTCAAAATATTATTAATATTGAACGTGACGTGTGCAGTGTAGTGTTAAGGTAAATGTTATTGTTTCAAACGTCTCACTCGTTATAAATGTTATAATGTATAGGCAGGTTAAATGTATCAACCAGGAAGTCGGTTTACACAGTGATTAACAACGCGCTACTAATCTATAAATATACGTGTGTGGCGTCGAGAGTTTGCAGTACGTGCACAGAGATATACCATCGGCTTTGAATAATATGTAAATCCAAAATATTATATGCATGTAACGGCGCTCGTTCCTCGAAAACTGAAATCTCGCTCTTCTAGACAAATAGTATGCAAATTTGAAAAGTCGTCTGCCCCGTTGCCAAAGTCGCTCTGTAATAAAACACCGCGTTGACCCGTCGTTGTGTGCATGGCGCCGGCTTGGAGATCTGCTCGCTGCTGCAATGAGCCGTAAATTGATTGCTACGTTAAATGTGTAACTACCCTGAAGCAAAAAAATCTTCAAATCCCTAGCCTGCAGTTGACTTTGGATAATATAATAATATGTTTATTACTCGACG